TACGAATCGTCTCAAACGCAGACTTGACGACTTCCAGCCTCCCGAACAAGCCGGTTTCCGAAAGGACTTTAGCACCATAGACCACATACATACCCTTCGGCATATTGTACAGAAGTCCGAAGAGTACAATTTGCCACTATGTCTGGCGTATGTGGACTATGAGAAAGCCTTTGATTCCGTCGAAATTTGGGCGGTGCTGCAGTCCCTTCAGCGGTGCCAAGTTGACTGTCGGTATATCGAAGTGTTGAAGTGCTTGTACAGTAGGGCTACGATGGCTATCCGAGTACAGAACCAGAGTACGAAACCTATCCAATTGCAGAGAGGTGTAAGACAGGGTGACGTCATATCCCCGAAACTCTTCACCACTGCATTGGAAGACGTTTTCAAGCTTCTGGACTGGAAAGGATACGGTATCAACATCAATGGCGAGTACATCACTCACCTTCGATTTGCCGTCGATATAGTCCTTATGGCAGAATCGCTGGAGGACCTAAGCACTATGCTCAATGACCTCAATAGTGTTTCCCAACGGATAGGTCTTAAGATGAACATGGACAAAACAAAGATCATGTTTAATGTCCATGTCACACCTATGCCGGTAGTTGTTGGGAACACTAAGCTCGAAGTTGTTGACGAGTATGTTTACCTGGGACAAATAGTCCGACTAGGTAAGTCCAACTTCGACCGAGAGGTCAATCGACGGATTCAACTCGGCTGGGCAGCGTTCGGGAAGCTACGACACATCTTCTCGTCAGACATACCTCAAAACCTTAAAACGAAATTGTACAACCAGTGCGTGTTGCCAGTGATGACTTACGGAACTGAGACGTGGTCCTTCACTGCTGGCCGTATGAGAAAGCTCAAGGTCGCTCAGCGAGCTATGGAGAGGGCTATGCTCGGAGTTTCTCTGCGTGATAAACTTAGGAATGAGGATATCCGCAGTAGAACCAGAGTAACCGACATAGCCCAACGGATTAGTAAGCTGAAGTGGCAGTGGGCCGGCCATATAGCTCGAAGAACCGACAACCGATGGGGAAGAAAGGTTCTCGAGTGGCGGCCTCTTACCGGTAGGCGAAGTGTAGGGCGTCCCCCCACGAGATGGAGTGACGACCTGGTAAGACATGCAGGAAGTCGATGGATGCAGGTGGCTCAGGACCGTGCTTTGTGGCATTCTTTGGGGGAGGCCTATGTTCAGCAGTGGACTTGTGAAGGGTTGTAATGATGATATAATTGTACTACGGAAAAGCGGGTCCCTCTACTACAGGTATCTATTTACTTAAAAGAGAGTACCCAACATTGTTGTAACAACTTACTACTTATTTTAAAGCAATAAATTATTATTATTATATGTCATCGAGACAAAGCTTCAGCACCGCTCCTGAAACTTAACTCTCTTTGTTTTTTATTAGTGATCTGACACTTTAATTACAGAACACCGAATACAACTTAAAACCATATTAATAACAAAACACAATTGTACTACATATCACTTTAGTTCGCAGTTGTATCGCTTCGAAGTATTCGCTTGTATCGCCAATTCAATACTGTATCGGTCGCGGTCTATACCGGCCTTATATATGGCCTCAGGTAGTCCCAGAACCTTCTACTATAGAAATTTCTAGAATGTTCTTGACTCTCCTAGTTCTGCCAATCGGTACTAGAGGGCGCTAGTGTTAACTGGTGTCACCATGTATCATGTATAAATCGTGGCGCGCAATGATCGCGCTCACGCGCGAGCGCGTAATGCTCGTCCCGAGCATTATTGGACCCTTTCCCCACACCCGTTACACCTATGGCTGTATCCTTTATTGCGGTCGCGAACTGTAGCTGCTGCAACCTCCCTGACGCGATGGGAACGATGATCCTGTCGCACCTTAGGCCAACGCATCCTTAAGCGTCTCGTGGTGCCCGAGCCTTACAGCAGCTCTGGCTTCAAATTCGCGGATACCGTTGATGAATGTCTGCACCAGGTTCCCTACAATGAGCGCAGGTACAGACTGGTATGCTTTTCGAACCAGCTTCTCCTCCTCAAGGACCCACTGCTGCAGGTTTTCGTTGCTGCGTTGCACGCGATCTTTGAGCTGCGCGCGAAAGACGTGTTCCAGGTGAGCGTCGCCATATCTCGCCTCCAATGCCTCAAGGAACTGCTCGTAAGTTACTTCCTTACCGAGAGCTTCCAGAACAGCTAAGGCCTGGTCGCGCAGGCCTAGGATGAGAGCAGTCATGGCCTGTGTTCGCGCCAAACGCTGTCAAGAATCGACGCTAGATGTCACTCGGCTCGGCGCGATACCGGTTGAAGTTCGGCTGAGCGTGGCAAGGGCGCGCGGGTCGAGAGCGAAAAGGCGGAGTCGTCTGTAAGCGGTGCTGACGTTAGCACGCTATCAATTTTGTCTGGAACTCGTAAACAGTAAACTCGTAAACGGGAACAGTAAAATACGGTCTAGGATTTGTGGCGCGCATCCCTACTGGAGAGCTTCCCAGGGACACATTGTGTCTGATTCAGAATCTGCATAAGTGCATTCGGCAATATTAGCTAGTGCGGCCTCTGATATTCTAGAACTAACTGTTGTTACGCGAAACGGTAGTGACCTTTGATCCGTAAACTCCGTGTGCGTTTTGTGCGTTAGCCTTATACCCAGCGATAGTAGTGGCTTCTGTTAATTAGTTAATCATACGATAGAGTTAATTTACGGTCATCGTGACGAACGAGAAAAGTGACTGTGGACAACGCCTCGGAAGGCCCCCTCAAGTTGGAGCGGTGTCGACGCTCGGGCTGCTGCCGACGGCCAAGGTCTAGGTTCAATCACCATCAGTCACAACCAGATACACATCACATCACCTTATTTCCCTTGCACTACACAAACACATGCAACCAGACCGACTCCGGAGGGACCAGGCGCCTTGGATATAGGTAAGTAAGCTCCGTCTAACTCCTCCCGGTCGACTGGCCGTAGTATAGAACGCTACCCCATATATTTTAGTGTAATTAGAGAAATTCCACGTGGCCACATTGAGGCCCGACCTACGTCTGCTCGGGAAGTCTTCTGCTCATGGGCCCCGGAGGATTTGACCCTTTAAGGGAGCAGCCGTAGGCCATAACAGCCTGACTTTTATTCTAGCCGTTCGCCTTCATAACAGCCTCGAACTGGACTTTGTAGGCCGACCAGGAAGAAGTCCCTTCGAACAGCGGCACTTTAAATCCACGTAGCGAAGGTTTTGTAGCTACCACGGGAGCTGTAATTCCATCCCCAAGTTTAAGGTCGTCCAGCGTTTTCTTCACATCAGCCATCACGTTGTCAACCCGATTATTCACTTGGTTGATTCGGGTTTTAGCTTCCGACAGGCCATTGTCATGTTGATCAACCCTATCCTTTACCTTCCTTATCTCTTTCCCGAAGGTAGCATGAAGGTCCTTAATGAAGAGCATCTGCTCTTCCATACCGCGCTGTAGGGGCTCTTCCCACTGACAGGCCTGTTCCTCTTGTTGGAGAGCCTGTTTCTCCTGCCGGCGGGCCTGTTCCTCCTATCAGCGGGCCTGCTCCTGCAGCATCATCATCAGAGCATCTAAGTCAGGTGCTGCAGATGCAGGAGCTGCTGACGGGCTGGTCTCCGTGGTCGGCAGCTGGCCCTCCGACGTCTGTGACGTTGCACCACAAAAACGTCTCTGGTCTATCTCTTGTTGGCGTTGACTTCGGCTACGGATACCCTCCGTGTGGTCTTTAGGTAAAATCGACATGATTTGATCCCACTTCTGACACCAATTGTTACGAGCTTGGGATTCGAGACAATTAAAAACTGCCGAGTGAATTACCTAAATTGACACTTTAATTACAGAACACTAATTACAAGTCAAAACCACACCAATAACAAATAATCGTGGTAAATCAATACTACTCTCTAAGTAGTAAGGATCGATATTTCCAAGCGAGTCTACTCTAAGAGAAATACATTTCAATTACAATTTCACTGACAATTTGGTTATTGTGCTTTGTTGTTCGCCATATTCTTATCGACCTATTATTATATATTATGTACAACGTGTACAATAGGATAATCTTTCGGCGCGGGCGCGGTGCACACAAATACAGTCATACAGAAACAGGAACGTCTCAACGGAGCGATTGTGACTGATTCGTGAAACAAAACATAAGCAAACGATAACTCTGTGAAGCAAATCTGAGTGTAAAATATAGTTTGGTAAACTTACCTTCATCCTTGAAGTCAAATCCTATTATTTTTATTGAAAACCAAGATGTCAAAGTCGCCACAAAGTAATGTTAACATTGCCATTTTATATTTTTGAAATTGATTGATCCTTGCCATTTTTAACTTCCCGCTCTGAAAATTAATAATTTTAAAAAGTAGGAAGTTACAGACTTCAGTCCGATTTTGATAATGCGAGTTTTCATCAGATCTCGTTTTGAGGTCCTAGGAAGCTGTTCCAAGTTCCAACTATTTCGGACTGGACTGGTGTGCGTGTGCGTGCGTGCGTGTGAATGAATGTTTGTGGAATTCATTGAATGGCTTCTCTATATCCCTATTTGCATTGTTCAATCAAATCAAAGAACCCTGTATAGATGTTAAGTATTTTGAGAGTATATTAAAACTTTTATTTTTTTACTGCATACATTATCTTCGTTATCGCCCTGCACAAGTCCACTGCTGCATAGCCCTCCCCCAAGCAATGCCACAAAGCACGGTCCCAAGCCCCACGGCGAGAGTTTGCGAAACATACCCATCAAATATGACTTTTAGGCCGAATTTCGTTCATGACGACCAGTCTTAACGGAGACTAGTGATCCATACAGAACATTCAGATATTTTATAAGAACATTTCGGTAAATAATAATAACTTTCTGTGATATGTACGTACTTAAGTAGCAAAGAAGTATGTACATTATACTTTAATGATACTAATTCCCCACGAACGAAGTCTATATAGTTTGGTTCGGTAGGTGCGCTTTAATGTGTCACTTCACGTGTCTGTTCTTTTCTTTCAGTTCTGCTGGTCAATATTCATTAGCTATGACAATCCTCTGCGAGAGCGTTCCTATGTGTAAAAGAAACGTACTGGTCTTGTGGGTCCTGAGCATCTTGTGCTTGTCCCAAGGTATTATGGCAGGTAAGCATAATTTTCGACGCAGTTAACATATCGCGCCTAACAAGTGACACTATATCAACTCAAAATTTTGCATATTTTAGTTAATATCTGATTCTGAAAGAAGACATTTTTCCCTACCGACTGACAAGACTTATTTATATCTCAAGTACCTACTTGATAATATATAATGACAAAAAACATTATTGAATGTTACGATCGGTAATTGAATGAACTAGTATTACCGTCGCATTATCGACTGGGTTGTAAGCTAAAGACAAAAGAGTTATATAAGAGTATCATTTCGAGCACTGAATTATATATTACTAGCGTAATTTTGAGTTACGCCATCGTTTTTAGTTTCGAAGGGACAAATAAATAGAATGTATGCAATAAATGCCATAAATAATTCATCTGAGATAAAGTGCCATAACATAACCGTTCCAGAGGAGTGTAAATACGTTCTGTCTAGATTTTCATTTAGGATTTTAAGCATGAACATAAGAAGCATGTGTAAAAACTTTGATACCCTTCTAGTAACCCTAAAAAGAATAGATCTTGATTTTGATGTTATTGTCTTCAGCGAGTGCTGGCTTGATGAGTATGTGACGGTTCCTCTATTGCAAGGCTTTACATCTTTTCACTCTAGGAAGTGTATTAATAGGGCAGTAGGAGTCGCTAGCTACATAAAAGATAGGTGGACAGCCTATTTTTCCGAGCTGAACGTTGACGAGGGTAATTGTATTCACACAGAAGTTGCAAAACATTTCTCAGTAGTTGCCGCTTACAGGTCACCTGGTTACACTAACCCAGAAACATTTATTCGCTCTCTAGACGCTAACTTAAAAACGGTAAGTCCCTCTCCTTGTCTTATTTTCGCTGGAGACATAAATATAAATATTATTGGGTCCGCAGGTGACAAAAATTTGCACACGGAGTACTTAGATGTATTAGCAGAGTATGGACTTTCCCCCGCCATAAACAAACTAACTCGGGTCAAAACCTGCATAGATCACATTTTTGTACCCGTAAGATCTAATGCGGAGTCCGTAGTGTATCTCAATGATGTTACTGACCATGATATCACTATGGCAGGCATAATGTTAAAGACACAAAAAACAAAAAGACCAAAACCTATTCGATCAAGAGTTATAGTTGACATAGACTCAATAAGATCAGAGCTGGAGGGAACGAACTGGTCCCCAGTAATGAACTGTAGCTCTCTTGACGAGTCAGTGAGTCATTTCACTAAGACGGTATCAGAGACAATATTGAGATACTCGAAAACTTGTGTAATAAGTCACTCTAGAACCATCTTACACCCTTGGATGACTCCTGGTCTAATCAGATGCTCTATGCACCGTGACAAGCTTCATATTGAATATTGTAAGGACCCAAACAACCTTACTAAAAAACTTGTATATACGCGTTATAGAAATTTTTACATAGGTCTAATCAGAAAACTAAAATGTGATTACAACAATAAAGAAATAAATAAAAATAAATGTGCTCCAAAAAAACTCTGGGGTACTATTAACCGCATAACTGGCAAAGACACAAGTTCAAGTTCTCCTCTGGATCTCATCAACTCAAGACCCTCTGTAAAGGAATCTCTTGATGTTTGCAACTCTTACTTTGCCTCTGTAGGTAATAAGCTAGCATACTCTATTATGAGGAAATTAAATGAGACTCAGGAGTCCCTTGCCGAAAAAGTTCACATTCCTGTTCAACCCGTTGGTTCATTTTTCATGGATCCTACAGACGAACAGGAAGTTTTGAGTCTCGTCTGATCTCTTGATTCATGTAGTGCCCCGGGTATGGACGGCATTACTAACAAACTTTTAAAATCAGTAGCCCACGCAATTACGGCGCCCTTGGCTGCGATATTTAACTTAAGTATCTCGTCAGAAGTCTTTCCAAGCCAGTGGAAAGTAGCGGCAGTTATCCCCATACACAAGAATGGAGCTAAGGACGACCCTTGTAATTATCGTCCCATATCACTGCTGGGTAGTTACTCTAAGCTCCTGGAATGCGTTGTTCATAAGCGGCTGACTAACTATTTTGAAAAGAATAGTATACTCTCGGACCGTCAGTTTGGTTTCCGTCAGGGAAAATCGACTGAGGATGCAGTTAGTCTTATCACAGATATGGTTGTAACTCATCTCGATCAGGGTCGATCCTGTGTCGGTGTTTTTCTCGATCTGGCTAAAGCATTCGACACGGTATCAATTCCCATCCTACTTAAGAAACTAAGTGCTCTTGGTATTCGTGGTCTGGCTTTAAACTGGTTTTCCAGCTATTTGTCGGATAGAAAGCAAAGTGTCTGAATAGGCGATCAAGCAAGCGATCTTAGATCTGTAGATTTTGGCGTTCCTCAGGGTAGCATTTTGGGGTCGACTCTTTTTATTTCATACATTAATGACATTATGTCAATTGAACTCGAAAATAGTGAAGTTGTATGTTATGCTGACGATACAGCCGTAATATTTTATGATAAATCTTGGCACGACGCCTACCTTTCGGCTGTCTCCGGGTTGCATAAATTACAAAAGTGGTTAAATTACAACATCTTAACATTGAACACCTCAAAAACGCAGTTAATTTGTTTTCATAAAACTGCAGCGTCTGAACCACCGCCGTCACTTTTCAATAGCCTTAAAGTACATAATAACAACTGTAGTTTTGGCTCCGTGAGCTCTCCTAATTGTAACTGTGACCAGATAAATAGGGTCAGCTCCATTAAATATTTGGGCATCATAATAGATGAGAACCTCAACTTCAAAAGTCATATATCAGTGACATCAGCAAGGATCCGTAAGCTGATACACACAATGAGACTATTGAGAGATTCTACTGATGGCACCATTTTAAAGTCAGTCTACCTTGCACTATGTCAGTCCGTACTTAGCTATTGCATACTGGCGTGGGGTGGCATAGCCTCCTCTACTTTGCTAGTGCTGGAAAGGGCCCAGAGGGCAGTTTTGTAGATAGCTATGGGTAAACCAAGGCGTTATCATACGTCAGATCTCTTTACAGAAGCCCAAGCGTCCGTAGATTGTATCTTCTGAGGCTGTTTACATTTATGCATAGGGAAGCTTCGAAACTGCCGACATTTGATACTTTCATAAATAAAAGAGTGTTTAAGATCCCCACAACCTTGGTTAAAACATCTTTCGCTCATCATTTCAAACTGTTCCTATTCCCACGCATCTACAACAAATTAGTCAATTTATACGGCTTAAAGCGATCCCAACATTACGAGGCTAAAGCAAAAATGATGAACTGTTTATTGACTTGGGACTATGAGGAAACAGAAGAAATATTGGTGACCCTTAAATAGGTGTTAAAACGGTAGTGGACAGCAATGACGCCAGCCCTGCCATCTGATACCAACACACTCATACACACACTCACACTCATACACACTCACCCTCATTTACACGCGCGCTCCTTTAAATTAGAATATGCTTGTTATGTCTGTAATTTTTCATAATTTTAAGTCGTATTTTTTTTTGCTTTGCTACGCATAATTGTTTTATGTAATTTCGACAAATAGCCACTTTGTTCTATTGTAAAATCTTTTGTTTGACCCCCACGAGACAGGCCATGCCTAGTGTGGGAGTCACAGAACTTTGAGTAACAGAAGTGTTTCTGCTAAATAAATAATTTTATTATTATTATTAAATATAGTATTATCTTTTACTTAATACTCTGTTAACTATGATTTCTTTTACGTAAAATAATGTCATCACATAATGCTACTCTATGACTGAACAGTTTGAAATTATTCTTTATCTACTATATATGTATAATGAAGAATTCTACTATGTACTTTATCTATTATATACTACACGTATTATATAGGTACCACATTTAAAACAGGTGTGTGTTAAATGTTAAACGTAATTACCGTAATTTTTTTTGAGATAATACTATGTACGTATATCAGAGGTTCTAAATTGCTGAATGAATAACATTTATCTCAAAATTACACTATAAGGCTTTTAAAATAAGGTACACGAGGGTAATATAGTCAACTTAGGCTTTGCCGCGCTATAAAACCAAAACTTGGAGGAGAGCAGATGGAAAGACACAAAGTTGTATACTGTAACTACTTATATTAAGAAAAAAATAGCAATCAAAGACATTGAAGATGCTGTTCACAGCGAGTACAGCAAAAGTAACACTAAGTTTTTTCGTAGTGCTACTTTTATTATACGACGATAATCATCATCATCATCATCATTACAGCCTCTCATAAGTCCACTGCTGAACATAGGCCTCCCCCAAGGAATGCCACAAAGCACGGTCCTGAGCCACCTGCATCCATCGACACGGTGTCGAGTCGTCACTCTATCTCGTGGGGGGTCGCCCTACACTTCGCCTATCGGTACAAGGCTGCCACTCGAGAACCTTTCTTCCCCATCGGTTGTCGGTTCTTCGAGCTATATGGCCAGCCCACTGCCACTTCAGCTTACTAATCCGTTCGGCTATGTCGGTTAATCTGGTTCTACTGCGGATATCCTCATTTCTAAGTTTATCACGCAGAGAAACCCCGAGCATAGCCCTCTCCATAGCTCGCTGAGCGACCTTGAGCTTCCTCATACGGCCAGCAGTGAAGAACCACGTCTCAGATCCGTAAGTCATTACTGGCAACACACACTGGTTGTACAATTTCGTTTTAAGATTTTGAGGTATGTTTAACGAGAAGATGTGTCGTAGTTTCCTGAACGATGCCCAGCCGAGTTGAATTCGTCAATTGACCTCTCGGTCGAAGTTGGACTTACCTAATTGGACTATATGTCCCAGGTAAACATACTCGTCAACAACTTCGAGCTTAGTGCTCCCAACAACTACCGGCATAGGTGTGACATGGACGTTAAACATGATTTTTGTTTTGTCCGTGTTCATCTTAAGACCTATCGGTTGGGAGACACTATTGAGGTCATTGAGCATAGTACTTAGGAAACCAGCGACTCTGCCATAATGACTATATCGTCGGCAAATCGAAGGATATGTACTCGTCATTGATGTTAATACCGCATCCTTTCAGGTCCTGCAGCTTGAAAACTTCTTCCAATGCAGCGGTGAAGAGTTTCGGGGATATAACGTCACCCTGTCTTACACCTCTCTGCAGTTGCATAGGTTTCGTACTCTGTTTATGTAATCGGATAGCCATCGTAGCTCTATTGTACAAACACTTCAGCACCTCGATATACCGACAGTCAACTTGGCACCGCTGAAGGGACTGCAGCACCGCCCAAATTTCGACGGAATCAAAGGCTTTCTCATAGTCCACATACACAAAGCAAAGTGGCAAATTATACTCCTCTGTCTTCTGTACAATTTGCCAAAGGGTGAGTATATGGTCTATGGTACTAAAGCCTTTTCGAAAACCGGCATGTTCGGGAGGCTGCAAGTCGTCAAGTCTGCATGTGAGACGATTCGTAATGACTCTCGAAAACAGCACGTAGACGCGGCTCAGATGGGAAATCGGTCTGTACGTCTCCAAGAAAGCATTGTCGCCTTTCTTGAAGAACAAGACCACCGCACTTCTGCTCCACGCCTCCGGAGTAGTGCCACCATGTAGGATGGAATTAAAGAGCTCATGAAGGACTTTAAGTACCGGTTTTACACCCGCTTTCAAAAGCTCCGCTGTAATTCCATTCTCGCCCGGGGACTTTCCGTTTTTAAGGTGCTGTAGAGCCATTCTAATCTTGCTCAGACTGACGTCCGGGATATTATCGGAATAGTATCGGATAAGACTCGCTCTTGGACCGTTACTCACACTTACGTGTGGCTCCAACGTTGATGTGTACAGCTGCCCATAGAACCTCTCAATCTCACTCAAAATCTCAGGTGTCCCGGAAAGGATGCTGTCACACTCGGTCTTCAGCTTTGACAGTTGGCTCTTTCTGGCAGACAGATCTCTGGCAAAGACTTTGAAGCCTTGGTTCCGCTCGATCGCTTCTTTAATACAAGCTGTATTGAAGTTGCGTAAGTCCCGTCGCATGCATTTGGAGATCTGTCTGTTTAGTTGCCTATATGCAGTCAAATCTGTTGAAGAATGTAGCGTCATCTCCCGTCTAACAGCCATGAGATTAAAAGTGTGATCGGAGAGTTTTTGTGTTCTTCTGCGACGGGTCTTGCAGAACTTAGCTCCGACCGCATGGACAGTTTCCACGAGCTTGTCATTCATATCGTCCACTTCATTGCAGTCTTCTAGGCACTGAAAACGGTTTTGTAACTCGAGCTGAAAGGTTTCGGGACTTTGGAACAGGGCACGGGGGGGACGGAGCGTTGACTTCATTAGACGAGACCTCTCCAACTTAACGTTTAGGTTCAGTGTGCCTCTAATCAATCGGTGATCGCTACCAGTTTTCACCCTCGCCATCACGGAGATATCACTGAACAGTTGTCGTCTGTTCATCATAATGAAGTCAATCTCATTTTTCGACCTGGTCCGCTTCCTGTGAGGCCGCTTCTGGAAGAAAGAGTTCATCATAAAGAGCCCTTGGGTTCTGTTGCCCTATTCCGAATTTCCCTACTTTCAGCTCACCCTTCTCCCTTGTGCCTAGTTTTGCATTGAAGTCTCCCATTAACACCGTATATTGGGTTTTGGAGGAATGCATGGCTCTAGAGATATCCTCATACATTTCCTCCACCTCCTCATCGGGGTGTGCCGAGGTTGTTGCGTAAACCTGTATGACCTTCAGCGAATACCGTTTGGTGATTCTGAGTATAAGGTACGCAACCCTCGTTGACACACTCTCAATCTTTACAACGTTGTTAACGAGAGACTTGTGGACAATAAATCCGACACCTCCTTGGGACAGATGGTCGCCCTCCCGGTGATAGAGCAAGTTGCCGGATTCGAGGATTACCGTGTCCGCCCCCTCTCTTCTTACCTCGTATAATCCTATAATATGGCAGCGTAACTTGTCAATCTCTTCTTCCAGCTCCACGATCTTCTCGTCAGTCCTTAGGGTGCGTGCGTTGTATGTTGCCAGTTCGAGTCGTCTTAGGTGGCAACCGAACTTCCACCGGAGATTCTTAGCATCCCCTGCCCCGCCGTTACCACGGTCGCCACCGTAGCCAGGAATAGCGATGCTACTGTTTCCCTTTATCGCCTTTTACGACACCCACGGGAAGATATGGAGTAGTTAATATTCTTAACCGCCACTACACGACGATAATAGCTTACATAAAAATCTATTCAACCTTTTTTGCTCATTGTTTATGGACGCTGTAGCGTATTGTGTCACAGCATGAATGGGCCCGACTTTACTGGGAAACAAACTCGCACATAATACTGATGTTTTCTGTGGTGCGTGTAGAGAACCGGAGATGCTTTTTACGGGTAACAAGTCTTAAGCTGATGTGGCAATGGGCTGGCCATATAGCTCGAAAAACTGACAACCGATGGGGAATAAAGGTTCTTGAGCGGCGGCCTCGTACCAGTAGGTGAAGTGTATTGCGGCCCCCCACTAGATTAGTTGTTAGTTGTTGCTTAAGGTAATGGCACAGAATAAATAATAGTACGTAATGGTAATGCTTAGTTCACTCAAAAGGGACACCGCTACTTCGGAAACGATTAACATCTTGAGAAAATTATTTTATTCTTTAAATTTCAAGTGTCGATTTTTACTATTTATTAAAAGTTTTGACTATTTAGTTTTTATATTAAAATTTTGTACGATTTAAAATATTATAAGTGTCAATAAATAAGTATAAAAATATTAAACGAATTTACAAGAAGTAATTGATTTTTTTTTTGATATTCTTTACCGGATAGTACGGATTTGGCAGATGGAGGCTAGGCGAGAAACAGTGTAATGGTCGCCACACACGGTCAGTTGAACTGATCAGTTAAACTGACGTAAATCCAAAAACTGATCGTGTGTGAAATCTTAAGTTGAAATTTTTATCTGACATCAACCCACGGATTTTTCATTTTGTAATCCGCTGGCTTCAGTTCGTTTCAATTATTGGTAAGTACTTACTTTTTTTTTTTAGATTTTATATTATTTTATATATTTAGAGAAGTTTGTTTGACGGAGGACGGAGAGCAAAGGGACTGTGATAATGTCACCTTCCTTATGGTGGACTCAGAAGGTGGGTAAAGGATCTCAGTGATGCTACTACGTAGAACCATTGTGTTTGAATTCATTTTCAAAAAGGTTAATGGAGACCTAGTTGACTGTGATGATATTACCTTTCTGATGGTGCAATCTGAAGTTGGGTATAGGATCTCAATGATGGCACTAGATAGAACGATCGTGTTTGAACTCATTTGAAAGGGCTCGTACAGACCTAGGTGACAGTTATGACCTCACCTTTTTGATGGTCGATCGAGAAATGAAATCCGTTCCGTTTGAACTAGACTGTTGATAAAATATCGAAAAATCGATATTATTAGTTAAAAATATCGATATTTATTTCTAATATTTTTTGGATGTTATGTCAATAAAGAATAACAGTCGATTTTTTTTAAATATTAAACATTATGTTTTTATTTTTCCTCGTAAATCGTTTAATCTACAACACCATCGTAAACTTAATTCCTAATCCTTGATGGACCCAATCTACCGTACTTTATTTACACTATATTATGCTTTTCCTTTTTCCAAAGTTAATTTATTTGCTTATTATCTTAAAAAGAAATGTAATTTTGTATAGTACTCGTATATTTCTGTGGTATTAAAATTACTATAATCTACGAAACTTAGTACTACTTTACTTACTGTGAGTTTTGGCTGAAACTTGAACGTTGACGGATTGTTGCTCTTGTCTCATTTAAATAATCGTTTGAAGTGGATTTTTATACGTAAACGTGATGTGATTTTATGCATTTAGTGTCTGCGCATGTGACGAAACAAGTGCTTCGATGTCGATATAAACCTCAAGTTATTTTGATTGCTTAGGCGCCTTATGAACTTGACTGACTGCCGTCATCAACTGTCCGCTGGGTAGACATTTTACTTCCGTGCTATCAGAAATAGGTGTTAAATGTTTGATTTCTTCAGCTACATCTATAGCATCTGAAGGAATTGCTTCTACAATCAATCTTTTAGTGCCCAATAATCGTAGTAGTCAAACAGCTGAACATATAAAACAACGAGTATTTTTGAAAACTCTTATTGAAAAATATTGGTACACATAATTGTCTTATTTAAATTAAACAATAATTACTAAGAACTATAACCTAACATTTTCATACATTTATAATTAATTTGTTTAATAAATACACTAAATTATAAACTGTGTAAATAATTTTTAAGCTGACCCACGATTGTTTTCTTTTAAATAAAGCCGATTTATCGATATATCGCAATTTTTTTCGATATATAAAACTCCGATATTGATATATTTATAATTATCGATATATTAAAAATCCAATTAGTTGGACTGATCAGTTGAACTGAGCGTGTGTGTCGGCCATAACATTTTTCAGTCACGACCCCTTCTGACATAGTGTGGCGGCTATAAGGAAGCGAGATGGAATAATATCCATCTCCCTTGCACATTTTCTTATCTTGCCTTGAAATAAATATTATTTTATTTTAAGTGACACTTCATTTTAATAGACACTATTAATTCTTTTATTTGTGTTTGTTAATCAATAATATAATATGTTTATGAATAATGATATACTACGAAAGGAAATTCGTTCCAACCGAGTGTTTCACGATACTCACGCATGTTTTTTTGTTTTATCGACGATTGCATTTTTATTAACGAAGGCAATACAACAAGGAGTCAAGTTTTAATTCAATATTAAACACAATTCTTTCAGTAATCGCCATACCAATTATTCCGCTACCGTTCTCATTCTACCTTCCCGGCTTGGGCATCTACTGGAACTCTTGGCGAACTCTACTCCTCGTCTACTCTACACCAAGTCTTCTAGCTGCTGTCTTGCTGTTCTTCATGCAGGAGAGCCCAAAATATGTGTTTGCGAAAGGACATGAAGAAGAATCTATAGACATTATAAAAACTATACACAGATGGAATAACTGGAAACCAGCAGAAGATTTTCAAGTAATATTGAACTTCTCTAGTTAGCTCTTTAGCGAGAAGTTAGAAATCAGTTATCATCTGCTTCCTAACTTCTCGCTTAAAAATCATAAACATTTTAATTTAATTCTTACTAATACCACATAATAAATAATAGTACAAGAACTAATACCAAATTCTAAGAGCCGTGGTAACTCAGGGACTAAACTTCTAAATTTCCAAAAATTTCACAGTATGCAAGCAACCTGAGTTCGATCTTTGCGACACCTATCAAATAAGGTTTTAAGGTATAACAGAACAGAAAACTGAATTTGCAATGGTCCGGCCATATATCTTGAGGAATCGGTTCTTCGAGTAAGAAGAAAGGTTCCCGAGCGGCAGCTTTGTAATGACAAGCGAAGGGGAGGCCACACTAGATTGAGTGACGATCTAAGAGATTGAAGAGGAAATTGATTGATGCAGGTGGCTCAGGGCCGTTGTGGCATTCCTTGGAGGAGACTTGGAATAATGATGCTTAAGGTTTTATGTGTATAGAACTACCTACCCTTTATTTACTCTTCGCTTTTATTGTACCTTATTTGGGTTGTCTGAAAGAAAATAATGTGTAACAATGATACCATCTTTTGATTTTCCTCTATATTTGTATGGTATATAGTTCGGTTCTAGGGACAATTCTGATTTGGACCAAAATTTTTTTCACAGGAGCATTTGCGCCAAAAATCCCTTTGGGGTTTTTCGTCATTTATGTTGGTAAACATGTAAAAAAAATTTGGTCCAAATAGGAGGAGTCCCTAGAACGGAACTCTACCCGACATGTGAAGATCTCCAACACACACACTGAAGCAGCGTTGCCGACTAGTTGCTCTATATACTTCTCAGGTATAAGGGAAGGCCTGTGCCAAATGTTGGAGGGTATATTTGTAGCAACTTTCCTTTTTTGACTTTACTTACATTCACAAAGACAAACCTCCATGGTCTCATGGAGCCTCTATCACTGCCACCTGACGGCATATATTGTCATAGCGGTAATTAATTTAAAAAAAACACTATACTTTTTCAGATAAAGAGTTTGACGTTGGATGCTCTTGACGAACCGACGTCAATAAAAGACCAGATCGTGCCACTATTTAAAGCACCCCTTCTCAAATATACTGTGATCATGACTACGCTGTATCTGTTGCAACTGTGAGTACCACAATTAATCAATAGAGAAAGATAGCATACAAATTAATTATTTAAGATCGTTACCAATGAAATTGCCGTTCTGCAGTACTGGCCATTTCAAATCAAATTATTTTTGTTTGGCTAAGAATTCTAAATTCAAATTAATTTTATTTCAGAAATATTGAATTCTTTTTTCACAATTAGTCATTTGTTTATTGATTAGCGTTATGTTTATATTATATACATGCATATTTCATAGTATCGGCTTGGCACCATATTTTTAGGTATAAGGAACATTGATGGAATCACCTCGGTGTCTGTCTGTCACAGAGGTTTGATGACTTGGCATCGTAATAAAATGCGTTTAAATAAAGACTTGAGGATAGTAATCTTATTCAAATTAATATTAATCTTAAATGTTTTAAATTAAGGAGTTAGATTTAAGAGGTAACAAGGAAAGTTTGAAGAAAATATTAGCGTGATCCTTCCTCGGTCGAGCAAGTTCAATCGTGCTGCAGTCACTATACGCAGCGCCGTGACTCTACCCCGTAAAATATTATAATGATTTCAAGAAATGAAATGTAATGATAAACAATCTAAAATGGGCGAGGGAGAAATCTAAGGCCAACTCCACATTTGGTCATCTTTGAATATCGCTGTGATACAATTTCCGATGCGTTTCGTTTCTTACAAAACCTCGTAGCTGATGTACCTCGTATATGATACACGTTTTGTGAGCGGCAGTGTGAGTGTACTTTGACACTGTATCAAGATATGATGATGCGATACCATACCTGATACGCCGCTTCCCATCTTCAGCCGGTTTTCCGCCGATCATCAAAGAGGATAGATATTACACGGTTTTGGCTAATTTGGATGTACACATACATATATAGTTCATTGCTTTTACAGTGTTTGCAAATGAATAAAGCAATACAGAAAAGAAAACACAACCTTCTTTATGCAGTAGTGTAGCTGGAAAAATTTTTTTTCTTCTCATATGATGGTAAATTATCACCAAAATCATCTGCAGCGAAAATTACGGCTTGACTCAATTTTTTTCAATCGTTTAGTTCAACTAGATGAACTTATGGGAAATATTCGTCGATTGGTGTCACAACTTAACATATCTGAACTACAATCCATTTACTGTGAAAACTGCGTTATACCCTTCAGAAATAGTATCAAGGATCTAGGTTTAATTATCGACCCGTCTCTTAGTTGGATATCGCAGGTGTCCGAGGTTTGTCGTAAAGTCACAGGCATACTTCGTTCCTTCTATCGCCTTAAGTTCTTTCTGCCTCCTTCAACTAAACGTCTTCTCGTCCAATCTCTAATTCTTCCATTATTTGACTATGCCGATGTTTGTCTAACTAATATTTCTCAGGAGCTGCTAAACCGGTTGGACAGGTTACTTAACAACTGTATCCGATTCATCTTTGGCCTGCGCAAATATGATCACGTTTCAGAATTTCGCTTTCAGTTAAAGTGGTTGACTACACGCCAGCGCAGAGATTTCCGAATCCTGTCCACTCTGTTTTCAGTTCTTAATGATCCTTCCTCACCCCTTTATCTAAAAGAAAGATTTCAATTCCTTAGTGACACTCATTCTCTCCATCTCCGTTCTTCACAAAGTTTATTCCTGTCCATTCCTTTCCACCATTTTGGGTCTATATATGTCAAATTTTTCACACTTGCTTCCATTACCCTCTGGAACAAATTGCCTGTTGACCTGCGAACAATACCTGCCAAAAATATAACTATATGAGCATATCCGTAGCCTACAAAGTTGAGTCAATTCATTTTATATGTTTATAGTTATTTATATATACATTTATTGAGATATATATGTATTAATGCGTGTATTTATTTATATATGTATATGAATTATATATAAATATATATATATATATGTTTTATATATATATATATATATATATATATATATATATATATATATATGTGTATATTTTATGTATGTGTTGCATGTATATATTTGAACTGTACCTAGTCAAGTCATAAATTCTGTCACATGTTTAATATAAAACAATTGAAACAAGTTTATTCATTATGTAACCATTTATATACCAAAATGAACTTAATAAAACATAGATTCTTATGGCACTAAAGTTTATATATATATATATATACAGGCCTTCAATCTGCGCGGCCAATCGTCTATCGCAGCACGAACGAGGTCCATGTCAATATCAGCAGCTGCCTTAATCAAGGATGTCTTGAGTGACTCCAAATTGGGATGAGGCTTTGAGCACGCCTTTTCCTCCAAGTATTGCCATATCTTGTAATCTAACGGATTCAAATCTGGACTGAAGGAGGGCCAGTCTTCGTGCCGGATGAAGTCGATTTTACACGCCGCCACCCAGTCTTGTGTGCTTTTTATTGAACATGGTACCCAGTGCCTGTTATTGAACATGGTATGAGAAACAGGTTCCACAAGGTTCGTCAGGATTGTATTTTGATACACAACTGCATTCGTTTTTACACCTTTCTCACAAAAATGTACCTCTGTTAAGCCCCAATAAGAAACTCCCAACCATACCATGAGCGAGGATGGAAAATGAACTCGTTGGACACGCGGAATACGATTGCTCGCTTCTTCACTACTGTGTGCGTACACCTTATCATTTTGTTTGTTGTAGCTCTCTTCTACGGTAAAAATTTTTTCATCCGAAAAAAGAATTTCCTGATATTTTTTTCCCGCGTACCACTTCAACAAAGCGCGGCATCTCTTCAGTCTCAGGTCCATTAGACGAGCATTCAAACGATGTCCTATTTTTCTTCGATATGCCCGAAGCCCTAAGTCTTCATTTAACACCCTTTTCACCGTGGTTCTGCTTAACCCCATCTGAAGGGCCAACAGTTTCTGCTTACGTTTAGGATTTCTTTGAATTCGCGCCTTCACAGCTTTTATCACTGCTGGAGTCCTAACAGACCGAGGGCGAACACTTCTTGACCTGTCATCTATGCCGGACGGGCGTAACTCTCCGTAGTAAATGTTGTCGAAGATACTCCGCGAGCCGCTCACGTCCTACACCTATAGGTTCAGGAGGATACTTTCACTACCGCCTTTGTGTATGCTGTTGGAAAACTGTGGACTGAGGTTCAGAATTAAAAATGCACGATTTATAAATTAAAATAGCAAGGGAATGGCCAGCGGTTCGACTGATTAATTAGTTACGAAATATTATAACTTATTTATTTATTTAACACTGTTTTTCAACTATGATTGTTCAGTATATATTTTAAAACACAGATTTAATTAAACACACAGTAATATTAAAATTTCTATTGGTTTTTGAAAATTTCTATTCGTATTTACAAAATATCTGTTGGTAATATCAAATTTCTATTGGCAGTAACAAGTTTCTATTGGTATTCTCTACTATATCTATTGGTAATTTTGAATATCTATTGGAAGTAACAAATTTCTATTGGTAGTATCCAAAATACCTATTGGTAGCAGCTCGTTTTTTAACACTACTGACTAGCAGCTATTAATCAACTAAAATTAGTTGAATTTAACACTTTTGTAACTGCGAATATCAGTTACCACTTTTTCCGTCTAGCTAACACTTTTCACTATATGTAACGGCGAAATTTCCGTTACCACTTTATTCGGCTAGCTAACACTTTTTCACTATATGTAACTGCGAATATCAGTTACCACTCTTTTCAGCTAGCTAACACTATTTTACTATATGCAACTGAGAATTTTCAGTTGCCACTTTTTCCGACTATGTGTAACTGCGATTTTTCAGTTACGACCTTTTTCGGCTAGCTAAACTTTTTCTATTTCACTTTAACTTTTCACTGTGCTCTGCTACTAGTCACTTCAGCTACTACCGGATACTACTGCTATGCTGTTACTGGTAGTTCTTCCTACTACCATGTTACTGTGATTTGCCCCCATAAGGTAGACTTCGGCTATACTCTATAGAGAGCCGCTTGCCAATTTCCGGTTTTGCCTTTTTATTATCAAACATTTTCATTATGTAATTTGCACAAATCGCAATTTTTCTATATAATGCTAATTTTTACACTAACACGCTATATATTATAAAATAGGCATTTTGGTCCTTTATCATTATGTGATAAGGGTAACTTTATATACTTACATTTAAAAAGTTATTAATCAAAATGTACCAAATTTACATAACAAAAGTGCACATTAAATCTTTAATTTTACTATATTTATCAAATGTGTTTATTTACATAAATTATCTCTTTACTATTTCAATCTATACACCATATGCTAACTAAATATCATATTTACAATACTTTCAGAACATAAAAATATTCTCATTATTTTCATATAAACTATTGCGCAGTTAATTAACTTCTAGAAAGTTCCACGATATGCTGCGCTGTGATTGGTCGAAATTTTATTAAATGATTAAAGTTGTTTATATTAACTATTATTAAAAATGACATGCTATCCAAGTATATTAAGAATTGTAAACACATTGTAAACCTATATTAATACATAATTCGCTCGATTTTGTTATTAATTTCACTTTTTAAACAATTTAATATTCTTTAATCACTTTTTGCTTAAAGTCTTTAAACCGTCGCGAACATCTCTCCCGCCGTGCAGCGTCGCGAAGATCTCATCGTAGTGGCGCTGCATCCATTTCGGTGAGCGACGTTGCTTCTACTTCGGCAGCGGCAAGAGTTTCTTGGTTGGCCTCTTGATTAGGCCGTTCGCGGTTCGTACCTCCACAGTGCGGATCTGTCCGTCCGCACCGGGGAATACTGCTTCAATTCTTCCTCGTGGCCAGGTGTTACGAGGTAACTGGCCGTCGGCTATGAGGACTGGATCGCCCACCTGGAGATCGGGGCCTCGACCATGGGCCTCCCGCCGGTTTTGGAGTTCCGGTAGATACTCTCGCACCCAACGCTGCCAGAACATGTTAGCGAGTATCTGGGAGCGTCGCCAGTGCCTTTTGCTATTTATGTCCTTTTCATTAAATACTCCAGGTGTCGGCAGTCTCGCAGATCCT